CTCCCGGAGAACGTGGACGGTTTAACAAGCGCCGCGACGTCGGAGGAGGAGCCGTTTTAGGAAAATATCGGTGTTGAACGCGAGCATTCGCCGCTGAAAGCAATAAAAAAAACTCTCGAGCGGGTCAACGCATTTATCTTTTCTTCTCTCTCCCCTTTGTCCATTTTCTTTACGTCTCTGTCCGTTGGACGAGAGAGACTCACGGTGGTATTGTACCACCCCCTACGGAGGAGTGCACGCGCACCCTTAAAGCCTTGTCCCCGTTTTCGTCCCCGGACGCTTTCTAATTCTCACGATACCCGTACTTTCATTTTTGATTCGTGGACTTTTCATCTCCCCGTGAACGCCGCTTATCGCGATATTAAGCCCTGGAAATAGAGCCCGTGATAGGAAGGGGGTAAATCGAATTTGAATAAAAAATATGTACTTAGGATAAGGTCGAGTCGTTCGACCGAAAGAAGCTCGCGACGAATCTCTCCGCGACCGGGATTTTTCTACAATGGACTTCCCCTCGCTGCCGTTTCTCGATAAAATCGATATACAGTGTGTTCCAAAAATATATGTAAATATATTTCGGTAAAAAAATTTTTCGAAAAATTGTTAAAAAAATTTAGCGAAAGGACCCTCCAAGATGGCGTCTTATAAAATGTGGGACTTCCCTCGAACGTGTAACGCGTTTTCCGGCTTACGGACGATCGTTTCCGGCGGATTTCCCTTCGAAATACGCGCGCCTCGTGGCCACTTTTCTCGCCCGCGTCTCGTAAAGAATCGTTAGTTGGGTTCGCTTGGACGGTTACCGGAAACTCTTCCCCCCGTCGCGGGGAAAAACACAATTCGCGAGCAACGACGCTGAATATTTTTACGGCCGACGGAGCGCCAGGAATACGAGGCCCCCGACCTCTCCGCCCTCGCGTAATTTCTAAAGGAGCGAAGCTGGACCAGCCAAGAATAAGGAAAGAAAAGATTATGGTCCGAGAGAATCCTACGGACGTGAATGTTTTACGAAAGTCGCTTCGTAGAGAAATTCATAGAGCGTGCTTCTCACGGGCTGGAAGACTCACAACCCGTTCGTATTATGCCTCGATGTCGTTGTTACCGAGAAAAATGGGAGGAATAAATAGATTTCACTTCATTTGAATTTATTTTCCTGGGCTATTCGTGGATCGAGGGGGATGAAGTTTCTTTTTTTATTTTGTAAGGGCGTTGTTTTAGGGTGAGAGTGTTAGCAATGTATTGGCGATATTCTCCCGAGTAAAACGAGTCCAAACACGACAGCATATGTTTATTTACCAGTGATAATTTTCCGAGACGAAAGTGATAAGATGCGTTCGTGACATCCAATATGGAGATTTCAAATTTGTATACTTGTATCCTCGTGAGAGTATCATCAATCTATTAGCGAGATCCTCCCGATAAAAACGAATACAAACACGACGCCATTCGGACAATTTTTAATTACTCTAAATTCCGAATTTTTCAATAATATTTTTAGTCCGAACTAGGTCGTGTTTGTACTCGTTTCAATCGGGAGAATCTCGCCGACACATTGACGATACTCTCACCACGTTCTGAAACTATTAACGCCAGATTTAAAAATCAATTCGATCATGCGAGTTAATTTAACCGGTGGAAATCGACTATATTTTAAATTTGAACGCCGTTACGCGGGAATCCTTGAACATTGAAGAGGCCATTAATTATCCGCGAAAGCGACTAACGGCGAAAGAAGGAAATTTCAAGCAACGGAATATTGCCGGGGTAACGTTTATTTGTCTCGCGTTGCTTGAGAAAATTGCAACAGAGACTCCCGGGGTCCTCCGTGTTCGCTCGCTGACCCGAATTCTCTCCTCCCCGGGACTAATTAATCCGCTTTCCATTTGTCGAGCTCGCGATAAAGCATTTCTGAAATCGCCATTGTTTCGTCTGTCGCGCTATTAATAACGCCCGCTCCTCGGACGATAAGCTCGGACTTCCGTTGTTGGGGGGGGGAACCCCCGGTGTTCGTTGCTCCGTCGGCTCTTGCGTCAGTTATCCAAGGTACTCCGCAGCAAAGCACTAGCCGGGGCGGAGGATCCGCCGAAGCTATTTTCGCGAACCGATACCTTAATTCGACGATCGACCCGTTAATAAAGCGGCAATGAGCGCCGCTTCTCAACCACGGAACGGTACCCGTTCGAGCAGTCCGGGGTTTGTCTTTGTCACCGAGGCAATCGATAGAGCTTAATTGACTCGAACATGAGAGGAGCATTCGTATGTTCGCCGTTACATCGACTTCGACGATGAACCGGGTCATGGCTTCGACAGTTTCCAAGTTTTCGAGGACCGGGCCGGGGGAAAACGGTTCGCCGGAAAACTCGATCGCGCGGTTTCCGCAACTTCCCCTCTGGCGATTGAAAAAAATTTCGGAGTGGAACCGTTCGTTAATCGAACGGGACTTCCCCCCACCAGGACCAATTGTATCCCTTTATATTGTTTGCTAAAAGTTTACGTGACAAAATTAATAATAAAACACAAATAGAAAAACAAAATTTGTCACTCAAGAATTTAAAGAAATTTTAAACAAGTAAATATTGTGACAAAGTTCGAAGATTGCATGAATAAATAAAATATAACAATCTTCAGGCTCATTAGTGGGTAAACAATTAAAAATATCAATGTTTTAATAGCCTACATTTGAGCTACATTTTAATAAAAAATTAAACAAGTTTTAAATCAATAATATACTAGCTTCATAATATAATTTATCATATAATAGCTTTAATTTACTGTTTTTCATAAAATTTTATTGTATGTTGAAAATATAACTTTAAGTTGTAGTAAAAAACATGTAAACATCATTTAATTTGCAAGTTTATATGTCAGTTTTACGAAGATAATTTTGAAAAAATCTCATTTCCCGCCAAAAGATGGATGCTATTTGAGTTAATTTTATAAACACAATATAGATCTTTGTTTTAACACAATTTCTAGATAATTTTATAATTTTGTGTCTAAATTTGACAAAGATAATTTTGAAAAGAGCTCGTTTCCCGCCCACGAGATACACAACATGGACGCCATTAAATTTTAACCGAAATGAAAGATTTACGTTAGAATTAATTTTATAAATGTATAAATCTTCGTTACGTTTTGATAGAATTTTTAGGTTACTTAACAATAGTGATTCTACGTTCGTGGGAGCAGCAGGCGTTAATAACCGTCGCTGAACTGTAACCAAAGAAACGGAAGGTGCTTGGACCGAACTTGCGCAATAAGCCACTTGTTTTTACTTGGCCCAGAGTATCGTCAAGCCCTTTAAAACGTATATCCGGTTGCCCAAATGAGAAAGCGCGTAAACTTTCGCCGAGCCTAATAATCTAAAAACCGATATACTCGAGATCCATCGTGCTCGTAGTCGAAAGAGTCTTTCGAAATTCTTTAAAAAACATCAGGTTTCCACGAGGAGAGAAGCGTTACGGGGAAGCACAAATAGACTGGCTGCCCAATGGACCGGATAAACGGGTTAGCGCGACGAGCGTTCCACGATTTAAATCATCGAATATGCGCCGGGGCTCCATTATCCACGCTCAAACTGACGAATTAAACCTCCAATTCCGGGTTTCGATTAATGACCGTCCTTGCGGTCAGACTTCCCCTCGACAAAACCATTTTTCTTTTTTCGCCCCCAAAAACGAAACAACGGACGATTAATTATCCAGAAAGATTAAACGTTAAAACCGTAAAATGTCCCCCTCGAAAGTATCCTCGATTGTCCCATGGCGCGAATCCGGGTCGAACATCTTGAATATTTTAACCGTATGAGGCGCGCTGCCAGCGGAATAATTTATGAGCAATCGGTGGCTGACGTTTTTCCAAACTGCGATCCAAAGTCCCCCCGGAACGGACATTGAAACTATCTTTCCTTTTTTCTCGAACAAAGAAACGGAAGTATGGTCGATTCCAGGATACCTACAGTCGCTTCGATGGAGAGTTATGGAGACTTTCATAATGTTTTATGGCCTCGAGATACGGAGTAGTGATAAATTATGCAATCTTTCGCGCCACTGTTTCGCGGGTCGTCTCCAGCTCGTATTTCCTGCATTGGACACTGCGTCAGAACAGTGGATAGTCTATTAAAACTTTGAACGAAAGACTATCATTGTCGTTTGATAGTAAATTAATTTTATTTAAATTGAATTGGGGTGAAAGTATTATTAATGCATTGGTGAGATTCTCGCGAGTAAAACGAGTACAAACACGACATCATTCAGACAATTTTTAATTATACAAGATTTGGAATTTTTCAAAAATATTTTGAGCAAGTTTAAAATTGAAAGTAGTCCGAATGGTGTCGTGTTTGGACTAGTTTTAATTGGAAGAATCTTACAAATAGATTGATAATAGTATCGTGAGATTTTTATACTTGTATCCTCGTGAGAGTATCATCGATGCATTGGCGAGATTCTCCCGAGTAAAATGAGTCCAAACACGACCTGGTTCGTACTAGTTTCAATTTTGATTTACTAATTTTTCAAACTATTTTTGAAAAATTCCGAATTTTGAATGATTAAAAATTGTCTGAATGGTGTCGTGTTTGTACTCGTTTTACTCAGGGGAATCTCGCCAATGCGTTGATAATACTCTCACCACATTTTAATCTGAATGTGATTTTCAATAAAAATTTAATTCTCGCGTTTAAAGTTATTAACGATGGATAAGTGTAAGTAAAATTTGCATCTTAAAAATTCTGTAGAAACGTGCAGAATAGTGATAATAGAGCAGCCGTGACTCGATTAGACAGACGTCCCTTGCGTAGCATTTTTACAAAGAATAAAATGGACGTCACACGATGAATAAACTGTCGAAAAAACTCACGTACGTTTTTTATTCGTCGCGGGAAACACGACGCGCCGTGACACGCCGTAAAACACGGTGAAACTGGCAGTGAAAAAAAATGAAAAAATGTTCGTCTAACCGAGACCGTGGCGCATTTCGGGGAAATCATATTTGCGACTACTCACTGCGAATCCAATGTCACGCTTCCAATAATCGTCCAGTCTTCTCTGTTCGAGCCCCGAGCGTCGAGCGTTCGCCTCGCGTCACATTTTTGGTCGTCTGTTTCCGGTAATCGGCCTTCGACCGGTCAATTTCGACGGTTGGTCGAGCCGGAGTGGATCATCAATTCCCCTCGGAGATTATATCGCCTGTGTGAATGAAGAAATGGGGAAAAAGTGAATCAATGTCCTGACACTTTCTCGTAGGGAGAGGGGGGGTAGTTTTGGGACAAAGCCACGAATTATTGTTTTAACCCTTTCAGGGGAAAATGGCGACCCTCAAGCTCATATTTAACAAGATACACTGGCCAAAATCACAAAAATTAAACTATGTTAATTTTATTAGGCTGGGGGTCTTTATGCAAATTCGTATTTTTATTAATGGAATTAATTAAATGGGGAGGGTGGTTTTAATCCCTAAATATAATAATTCCTTATTTTAAATATTTCCAAAATTTTTGTATATTAATTGCTTTTTGTAGGTTTTTGAAAATTTAAATTTTCCATAAATGCATAAATATCCACAGTCTAATAATTGTGTGGACAGTGCTGTGACCAATATTTAAAATTAAAATATTTATTAAATTTGGGAATGAGATTATAAAATTTAATAAAAATTGAACTATGTTAATTTTATTTATAATAATTGTATGGACTGTGACCAATATTTAAAATTAAAATATTTATCAAATTTAGAAATATATTAAAAAATAAAAATTGAACAATACAAGTTTTATTTATAATAATTGTGTTGTTGGCCAATTAAAAAATGTAAATAAGTATGTTTGCTTGAAAATGAATGGTAATATGAGAGGTTAGGTTAACAGAGAAAATATTGTAAGGTTCGAGACGGTCAAGTTTATCGTTCCCCATCGGTTTAGGTGCACGCAAGTTTCGTATCCGACGACCGAAAAGCCGTTTCTACGCCAGCGGCTCGGAAATTTCGTTTCACCTTCAACCCTCGACGGAAACGAATAGGATTTCGCCGCGGCCGGGGCGAGGGAAAATTTAATTCGGGTCTTAACCCAGTTCCGGAAGAATGCGCACCGAGAAGGATCCCGAAACGACCGTCGATACGGTTTGCATCCCATTCGAGGACGCGTCGAAGTGGCTCGTATCAACAAACTAAACATACGGGGGAACTAGGATACAACTGTCTCGATCCTCCACAGGGGAAGAAACTGCGAGAAATTTGGACGTTTCTGGCCCTAGAATTTATTTTTACAACGCACCTCAACCCCTTCACCGAGACTTAATTGCAAATCATTTTTCAAACGTACACTATTTAATTTTGTAATAATTTTGTTTCAATTTGAATTTGGACGAAGAATGACCAAGGGATTGAGGTGTTTAAATATTTTTTTAAAATACATAATGTAGTGTCTGACTCAAAAGAAAATGTGCAATATGTATTGCATGGAGTAAGAAAGAAATGTCACTTCAGGAATGTTGAGTGGTTACAGCTTAACCCAGCTTAGCCCAGCTTAACCTCTTCACCGAGACTTAAATGCAAATTATATTTCAAACGTACACTATTTAATTTTGTACTAATTTTGCTTCAATTTTATTTTATTTTGAGCTTGGATGAGGAATAACCAAGGGATTGAGATGATTGAGATATTATATTTTCATTTTTAAATATATAATGTAGTCTCTGACCCGAAAGAAAATGTGGAAAATGTATTGCATGAAGTAAAAAAAAATGTCACTTCGAGAATATTGGGTAGTTAGAAAGTAGATTGCATGCTTGTGGACCATCCACCCTAATTTCTAAAAATAACCACAAAAAACAATACTTTGTTAATATAAAAAGTTGATTTTAATTTATGAGGCTTGATGATGGGAGTAAGTTTGGTCTCGTTGAATGGAGTGTATAAATCGAGCCCGTAAAGACGCCGTAATGTTTCCCCCCCCGATCAGATTTATTCGAAAGCTGCATTGTTAATTACCGCGACACGTAACGTCGAACTCGCGACATCGGAAACCGCATTCCGGCAATAATATAATTCGAAACGGGGTTAACATATTCCGTACGAATGCGTTTCCCCGGTTATCGAACGCCCGTGCATTATTTACAACGTCAAAATTGATAGCGTAACGTATATTAAATAAATTATCAAGTATCCGGCGTGCTCCGGAAACCCCGTGTAATATCGTTTGCACGTTTCAACGTCGAAAACGCGGTTCATGAACAGAATTTTCCATTAATTCCCACCCCCCCCCCCCTCTCTGCCCCTGTATTCGATTAATCAAAGCATGAAAAATATTCGAGGAAATGAAAACCGTAAATAAAATTTGTTACGGGAATATCAACTTCGATGGACGCGTGTCGCCTTTTTTCAGGCATTTTTCCGGCCAGCGCAAACACGCGATTGTTGTTTCCAAATCCGAGGCGCGTGCTGAACGTGCCAAATCACCCTGGCGTCGCACCGCTGCAAATCGAACACCGATACTGGCGACAAACTCGTCTAAATTCCGATGGGAACGTTCGCCAGGTCGGAATTCGAGCCGCCATTTTGGTACCGGGTGTCAAACGAGCTTTATTTATAGGGAACGAGCAATTGAAATACTGTTTTTTGATAGAAATTTGTATTGAGACTGTTCTTTGCGAGCTTTTCGAGGTGAAATATTATTTTTTGAATTTATTTAAAATTATTTAGTGTCCTAATATAGATAGAGAATTATATTAATTTTTTATGAAAGGTTTTGGAAGTGAAATATTGTTTTTCGAATCTACTCAACAACTATAAAGTCTTCCAATATAGATAGAAACTTAAATTTATTTTTTTATTATGCTAGCTTTGGAATTCGAGCCACCATTTTGGTACCAGGTATGAAAGAAGCATTTATAGGAAACCAGCAATTGAAATACTGTTTTTTGATATAAATTTGTATTACTACCATTTTATACGAGCTTTTAAAGTGAATTCTCTTTTCTCCTAACCTATAACTTAGGTTATCTTTCGTCTCCCATCACATAATAGCTACATCTAACCTCAATTCCAGAATCTCGATTGCATCGACTCCGAATGCATCTCTAATAAGATCTAAAACGCTTCGAAGCTATTCGATTTTGGGGGATGTCGCTTGTGGTTCCTGCGGGCCGTCCCTTCTCGTGTAAAATCCTACCGCGGGGAACCCCCGTAAGATGACGAGATCGTGAAGCATCGATTCCGAGGAGTTATCGTTGGTCCAGCAATGTCGAATTCGCCCTTTGCAAACCCCAGACCCATCGCCTTTACGCGAACGTAAATATGCTCGGGGACCCGTGGTTCCTCGAGACGAGGGTGGGAGGTGGGGGTTGCGGGGAGGGATATATCGTCGTCGTTGTTTGTAATTTCCCTTGGCAAAGTTTTGAGCGTCGGGGAACTCCAGGAGTTGGCAGTTTCGGCCCCAACGGGTACAAAAGGGGGACGTTTACGTTATTACCGCGCAGATAATGCAACAAGGATGGCGACACTAATTGCCCGAAAAACACGCTACGCCCACCGACTAGGACACGATCGCGAGCATCCTCCGTGAAATGGGTTAGAAAACGATCGATGCTTCCATAACACCGTCTCTCCACGGCGTTAAGTACTGTGAATGTAATTAACGGCTAACGATGCTCTTCCGGAAAATCGGCGCCGAGATACGCGGAGAGGAGACCGTAGGAATGGATAAACAACTAAAAATTACCACTGAAGAAGGAAAATAGCAATAAAATGATTGTAAAGAGTCTCCAGGGACTAGTAAAATAAAAGTTACTATGGGTTAACCCTTAAATGGATTACTGGCGCCACTGCAAATTTAAATTAATAATTGTTTAATATACAAAGTGTTCGACAACATGGGGCAAAAATGAAATGCTATATTCTGCAGACCAAAATAAGACGAAAATCAAGAATAGTAATTTGTTGATTGAGGCTCCGTTAAAAAGTTATTAACAGTTGCACCTCTACTCAAGTTGTCTATCTAGAGACGCCACTGTTAATAACTTTTAAACGAGCCAAAAGGCGAGAAATTCTATTCTTGATTTTCGTCTTATTTTGGCCTTTAGAATCCCCCACTAAAATTTTTCCCAAGGTCGAGGCTCCGTTAAAAAGTTATTAACAGTTGTACCTCTAGATAGACAACTTGCGTAGAGGTACACCTGTTAATAACTTTTTAACGGAGCCTCGACCGTGAGAAAAATTTTAGTGGATGATTCAACAGGTCAAAATAAGACGAAAATCAAGAATAAAATTTTCTACCTCATGGCTCGTTAAAAAGTTATTAACAGTTGCACCTCTAGATAGGCAACTTGCGTAGAGGTACAACTGTTAATAACTTTTTAACGGAGCCTCGACCGTGAGAAAAATTTTAGTGGGGGATTCTAGAGGCCAAAATAAGACGAAAATCAAGAATAAAATTTTCTACCTCATGGCTCGTTTAAAAGTTATTAACAGTTGCGCCTGTACGCAAATTGCCTATCTAGAGGCACAACTGTTAACTCTTTAACGAGCCACGAGGCAGAAAATGATATTCTTGATTTTCGTCTTATTTTGGCCCCCTGAATCCCCCATTCCTTTGCCTAATGGCGTCGAGCACCCTGTATGCCAATATAACTATTTGAGAACTTATTTTTCTAAATGCTTCAAAGAAAAGTTGATTAGCGTTTACTAAACTACTAAAAAACAATATTAAATAAAACAATTTAAGATTGTGAGTCCACTTAAGGGTTAAAAAAGAAAAATGGCGATGGAAAATTGTATTTTTTTCATTTTTGGAGGATTGCAAAGGGTTTTCCAGGCCGCAACGGAATACTTTGCGGTCGTTTTGCCCCGCCGACGTTATTGTTCCCCTTCACGGCGAATTAGACACGTATCGGCGCGGTGTAGGTGTTCGCGGTTCGATCATACGCGAAACCAGTGGGTTCGAAATTGTCAAACGGATTTCACTCGTCGTTGGCTCGGTTGCAATTCAATATCCGCGTATTAGTCGCGGAAAAGGCGGCTGCAATTACCGGGGAAACCCGTGCCACGGCGTCTTCTAATCCGCCCCGGCATCGAGAGAGTCGTAGAAACGTGACTCGGCCGGGGGAACGTTAAACACACGAAAATAGTTCGGTATTTTACGAGTAGAACTCGCGACGAATATGACCGTGTTTAAAACGTATCGCGGAGGGTCCG